ATTTTTCCTGAAAGATTTGAGACCATGACGATCCGAAGAATAACACGTAGAATCGGGGCATTGCAAGAAAACCTGAACTCTGTCTAGTTGACTGCTTCCGAATCAACTAAAAGTAAATCTAAAATTTATTTTTGGAACAGAATGTATCTAAGTTACATACCCGGACATACGCAGCTTAAGCTTAAAGGCCAACGAAATACATACAACGGGAATCATGTAAGGTCAATGCATGTTTTTCCCCCACAAAAAAAAAAAAGGAAAGAGGCAATCGCCAAAAGGTACTTTTTATACAGGAAAAATAGTCGTGTAGATGTCCCTTGCATTAGACACGTAGGCATACCAAACTCTTATGGAGAGGGTCAAAGCGAGAAGGGGAGGGGGGAGGGGAGAAGGAGGTGATTCAACCCGACAGCATCTGTAACAGTTCCTGATCATGTGACGAGGAGATCCTGGGTTTCAAATCCACACAGATCTCTTTTCCGCAGGATAATAAAAACTAGAGGAATTTTTTTAGACTCCTATAAATGCTTCCGCGTGCTTCCACAGGAAACAGGAAAAGCAAGGAGGTGCCGCTGGACCAAATTGGATTTAAGGTGTAGGATTCGATGTAGGGGAGAAGAGCCTGACCCTCCATTGTCTCTGGCTGTTGACTTTGTGAAGGGGCATGTGGCCTTTCGTATTGCTCATTGTGCAACTTCAGACATCCTCAGAGTAATCTGAAAGGCATTCTCTCCGACTTTTCAGAAATCTCATACTAGAAAGGTTTTCTGATTTGTGAGACATCGTACGAACTGAAGTATTTCTTCTCTATTCTCTCTTATTCGTCTCTCTATTTGTACGCCAACTGACAGTCGACGCTATTAGCCGTCTTTGTTTCGAAGACCAACTTTGTATATTAATTATTGGGAGAAGATGGGAGTCGCTTTCTCTTGTGCAGTTCCTGTTATGAACTTGTCTTTTTGCTGCTTTTTAGGTGTCTTATCGTGGTGCACATCATGGTTTTAGATTCTTCTTTCTTCACCTCCTCTCTGTGTCCAACAATATTGATCAACTTCTTTTTCATGGGATGCCTATTCAATGAATTGAAGTCATACTCCAATATTTTGCACCATAAACTCAAAGAATACATATTCTCCCCGGCTCTGCCTATTATTAAATAGGTACAAATTCAGCTGTAGATGTTGATGCTTTGCACATCTTCCAACATGGGCCAGCATGAAACAAGTTGTTCCACGGGAAGTTGATAGTTCATTGAAGCACCTATCGCTTTCAATGGATTGGGACTGTGACTGGACACAGCACATATGGTCTTGGTTTATGAGGTATCTGTTCATTTGTTATTGAAAAAGAAAAAAACAGAAGTACAATTTTAGGCTCACATTTTGCAGATTCTGCGAAAGCACTTGATTGGTACATTGAGATCTTAAATGCTTTTATGGTCCTTGAATATATCACTTCTTTCTAAGTTATGAGGCTGACATTTGTCCCAAGACAGCCATTGGTGGACCCTTGAAAGTCCAGACCCATGTGTTGTACAGTGGTTTCTTGCAATTGCGTAATTAAGAGACTTTTTCCTAGAATGGAAATATTTGTAGGGAAAGAAAGCACAACACGCCTTGTCCACGATATCATTGTTTATGAGGGAAGAGCTTGGTTTGTGAAGTAAATCTTATCTAATCATGTATAGTCACAGACCTGCTGGATTTGTAGCGCCATGAGGAATCATTGTGTACTCAATAGCAATAATAGTAGTAACAATAATGATGATGATAATAATCATAATAATAAAATAAAGTGTTAGAAACTTGAAAGAAAATTCTACTCTATGGAAGAATGAAAAGAAGAGAGTCTTGATCTTTCCACCGCTAATCCATTCTAGATATATGTAGTTTTCATGGGATACCCACGAAGTCCTGGGGGGCCCAAGAAGATCTAGAGTGGATTTGATTTCCTTTTCCTTGAGGGCCTGGTTTTTTATTTTTTTGCACAAATACCTTACCCAGTCGTAAACTAGGAACTTGCATTAATAAACTGTTTTTCCTTGAGGAATACGAATCGATGTGAGCTAATTATTGGCATACCATGCCCCGACGTCTTATATTAATTTCATCTGTTAGGCCCAAACGAATTTGAATACAGAGGAGCGAAGGCTTCGGCCTACTATGCCTTGCCAAAGGTAGCTAGCTGATCTCCACCGCTCGAGGGAGGTATGATAATATACAAAAGAGTCGGTCAGCTCTTGAAGAGAGTACAGACATCACGTGGGTTCATACAGTCAGGAGTTCATCTATCCGGCTAGATATCGAGGGACGTACGAAGAAACAGATCTCACGCGTGGATTCCTGTCTGATTTTTATTTTTGCCCAGTTCAATTTTAAAAGGCTCAAGGAGACCCCAAGAGAGGAGGGAGGAAAGTAATTAGGTCAAGCCCTGCAGAATATTCTGTGATGAAGCAAGTGGGGTGAGATGTTGGATCCGCAAGAGAGTCATCCGGAGCGTTTCACTAGTCATATCCAGCTGAGAACATGGTCTTATCACGGGATAGGAAGACGAGGAGTCAGTGACCATTATATCCTCTTGGCTGGTAGATATAATATCAGCGGGCATTGATATTCATTTATCTTTGTGAGGGTAGATATGTCAGCATAGTTTGCAAACGCAAGTCCGGCATACTTTGCTGTAGCTCTACATGGATTCACGATGATGTCTGCCAAGGTGTTCAATCATTGGCAGTTGATATACTGATGAGATCGAAATTGAGTACAGAGAGGCCAGTTATTTGGTTGTGAACGGCTGACATCATCCCGAGATTAGTGCAGGGCGCTGAGAAACACAGATGCTCTTATCTATAATTGAGAAATCCTACCTGGTTTCTAGAAGATTTATATGGAAAGTTAAGGCCTCCTAAATTCAGTCTATTGAAGATAATCATAACTAGCCCGAAATTTCGCACAATGTTTATCAAAAGAATTACTAAAATTTTAGTATGAACAGTTGTTTTCAGTTAAGATATTTGATTTGCAATGATAAACAGATTGTGAATCTGTACTGAATCTTAAAGCAGTAAAATTTTGAAAATCTGAGAGACTTCGGTAGTCAATTTGAAATTGTTCGTAAAATATAACTAAAATTCACTTTTATTTAACACTGATTTATATTATACATAAATATTAAAAATCGAAATAGCTGAGTTAGTTTTTATCTGCTAACAATGATAAATGTTTTTTGGGAATCTGCATCTTAATGATATTTATGATGCATCTTAATCGAAATAGCTGAGTTTTCCTAAACTCTAGGACGATATTCTAACTTAAAACAGATTGAGCTCACATGATGAGAATCTTATAGTGTATATATCAAAATGAGGAATCATTTATTTTTAATTTTCAGATGATTTAGGAATTTGACGTAAGTTTCCAACACGTAAAAGGTCTTTTTGTTGGTTTAATTATCTAGAATCGATGCCTTGCTTGTAACTTACAATAATAGGGTAATCCCTTGTATCAAAGGTTTCTTGAACATTTAAGATTATAAACTGCCTTTATTTTTAGTTGTAATGCTATGATTCTGTGAATCATGTCATTCAATTCAAGAGAGTAACTTTTCACAAAAAAATGTCTTTAAATTTAATCTTAGTACAATATATATTTTTTATAATCCTATAATGTGATAAAAATATCATGTTTCTCTAAGAATTTTTTTAATTAAGATTATTGATAATTTAATCATATTCTTTAGGAACCACCATCTGCTTGAAGTTAGCTTCTTGCTAATCAAAGATAGTAGATGAATTTGTTCCAATTTTAAAGATGTGTGTAATTTCATAACCTTTGTATTGGAAAGCAAAAACATAGAATCGTACAAATATCTGAAGTATATCTTGATTTTGAATAAATTGAAACTCTTTTTGTAAAAATTATGACTTTTTTATGGAATATTCTTACAAATATTTTAATTGCTAATGTTTCATCCATGATATGCATTTATAAAAAACATTAAATAACTTAAATGAATACTCCCATCCATTCTCTAATTCCCTTGAAATGGCAAGGGCTTTGGATCAAAATAGTTTCCTTTTTATTCATTATTTTTTAATTTAATTTTCTTCTAGAAAGTCAGTTAGTAATGAGTAATCGACAACTATGGTGGGATTGATGAATTGATTGACTAGCATCCCACATGGCATTTTGGTTTCCACGCCTGATTCATATTTGTTCAAAAAGAGATCCATGGTCTATATTAAATTGAAGAAACCTAGTATTATATGGAAATTATAAAATCTCCAGAAGATCTTTGGGTGACATAATCAAGGAACGAGGCCTAAAGCCAAATATCCAATTGAAAAATTGGAGCATTAGTTTTCCATATATAATCCGATGTTGTTATTATTATTTAAAATAGTAATATTCTGAATGATAGAGTACGAGGATAGTAGCCCCATTTATTGAGGATAATGAATAATTTTCAAAATGAGAGTTTACTGGCTGAAGAATGAGATGATGCGCGTGGTCGCTCCACGTGGGCTACCCGGGGGAGCGTGTACACGTGGTCCTCGAAGGCGCGGCGCCAAGCCACAGCGCCAGCTGGCGCCAGGTCCTCCTGAGGGCAATGACCGCAGCCGTGAGAGAGAGAGAGAGAGAGAGAGAGAGGGAGAGGGCTGGCTTTCAAGGTAGAATTATGGGTCCCATATGGCCTAAGGATTTTGTGCTTTGGCCATGTGGGCCACCTCTGCTTTTGTCTTCTTCTTCTCCTTCCCAACTATAAGAAACCCACGACCACCATCCCCTTCTCCACCTCCGCCATCGCCATCAGCTCAAGGAATCCCTTCAATTCTCTCTCTCTCTCTCTCTCTCTCTCTCTCTCTTTCTCTCTCTGCCCTCGTTGCCCAGACCTTCCTCTCCCTCTTCCTCTCCCTCTCTCTTCCTCTTTTTTTCTCCCCTTCGCTCGAGAAATCCCACTAAATCTAGGACTCTCTCTCCGTCGACTCTGCTGTGGAGAGCATGACAAAGCAGAGCGCGGTGGTGCCAGAGGCGGTGGCGCCAGAGGCGGTGGTGGTGACGCAGCCAGGGGCTACCGTGCCCGCTTCGTCCCCCGTATTCCCATACCCGCCTCTGAAGGCTGCCGTGGGTTTGCCCATCAAGAAGTTCTTACAGAAGCAAGAAATCAGCAGCGGCGGGAGAGTCAGTTCGTGGGTTGACTCCATGAAGGCTTCCTCGCCCACCCACATACAGGGGCCGCCGCCACCAGCGCAGGACGAACATCCCTCGGCTCTCGGAATGTTTGAGGAGATCGTGAGTCTCTCAAAGGGGAAGAAGATTGTCATGTTCCTCGACTATGATGGCACCCTCTCTCCCATTGTCGACGATCCTGACCGTGCCTACATGTCCAAAGCTGTGAGTGTCACCTCTGTGTCTCTCTCTACCTCTCGTCTTTCTCGTTCTCTTCCTCCTCTTCGTCGTCCTCTGTTCTTCCCTGCCACCGTGATGAACATATCCTAATGAGATCCTGTTCATTTCTGGGCGATGAAAACCCAGATGAGAGCGGCGGTTCGCGACGTCGCCAAGTTGTTCCCCACAGCAATTGTCAGCGGGAGGTGCAGAGACAAGGTACATTCTTCACCAAGAAAAACCACAGTAATTAAGCGGTTTATTTCAGTTTTAATGCTAGTAAAACAAGTGGCCCTTGAATTCTCGTCTCTAACGTTCCCTTCTGTTAAAAGGATAAATTTCTTTTCTCGTTTTCTTGATGGGTTCGTGCTTTGGATGGGCTCTACTCAGGTGTATAGCTTCGTCCGACTCGCGGAGCTCTACTACGCCGGTAGCCACGGCATGGACATCAAATGCCCCAAATTTAATAAAGTATGAGCCTTTATTTGAGAGATTACCCATTTTTCTTATCTTAAGATTAAGGACAGGCCCCCACCCTTCTTTCGAACCCTCTGCCGAGTTCTACCCTGACCGCATTTCCTTTTCAGCGGGGCAAAGAACCACCTGTTCCCAACAGTCTGTCTTGGGAACTATATTGAACGGCTTCTCTTCGTTTGTTTTAGCAACTTTTCTTAGGTCTCCTCGCCAAAACCGGCATAGGTTCACTAACAAATCAGTACGACCTATCTAATATTGTTTCTTCATCGTCTCTCTTAATGTGCAGGGCAACAAGCCGGCTCTCTTCCAACCTGCCAGCGAGTTCCTCCCCATGATTGATGTGGTTGGAAGAAGACACCCTCTCTCTCTCTCTCTCTCTCTCTCTCTCTCTCTCTCGCCCTGGCTCTCGCTCAGTCTCCGTATATTTCCCCCCACGTGGGTACTTAAGAAAAATGGGGCTCCGATGGGTCTTATCCTTTCCCATCGTTTCATCTTCAGGTGTCAAAGTTGCTGGCGGAGAAGACGAGGGCCATCCGGGGTTCCAGGGTGGAGAACAACAGATTCTGTGTTTCTGTGCACTTCCGCTGCGTCGACGAGAAGGTGCCCTCCTCTTCCACCTCCACTGGCTCCTAGTGTGCTTTCTTTGGTGTGAGTGGAAAATAAGATGGATGGTTCTTGGGGTTGACCTTTCCACTTGCATGCACGCAGAGATGGGTCGAACTGGCGATGCAGGTTCGTTCCGTCCTCCATGACTTCCCCAAGCTCCGGCTCACCCATGGCCGGAAGGTGAGCGCCCCTCAGCATACCTTTCAAATCGTGGAGTTTCTACCGGGCAAGAGAATACAAGACTCGCTGACTTGCTGCAGCAAGTGGGGATAGTCTTTGTCATGCTTTTTAAAATGAATAGGGTGGAAGAATCTGACAATAGGGGGACCTTCTCTTGTGAAGGTCTTAGAGATCCGACCGAGCATTGAGTGGGACAAGGGGAAGGCTCTCGAATTCTTGCTCGAATCCCTTGGTGAGTCGTGTTTTTACTTTCATTTTCCTGTTAGCGTAGCTAGTAGACGTTGACAGGTTGGCAGTTCATTTGAATAATCTTAATGTCATCTTCTACGGTATTTTAGGGCTCTCTGATAGCAACGACGTGTTGCCGGTGTACATTGGAGATGATCGTACCGATGAGGACGCCTTCAAGGTATCATCATGATGTGTCCTTGTGGACTAATATCTTTTATACAGAGAGAGCGAGAGAGAGAGAGAGAAATTCATATTCAGGGCCATATCAAGGCAATTCGGGTGAGAACCTCATTAGCCAATGGACAGCCTTAATTTGGAAGTCGGAGGTCCCACCAGATCTCTCCCATGGACAACCTCATCTCTGAATGCGATATTATATGGATCGACGACCTGGCTTTCCATCAAGTGGAACGTATTGTTTTACACAGAATCTTTCCCCCGAGTAGTACTCGGTAACCGTATCTCATTACACAAAGCAACGCTCAACAGTGTCGTGTTATATAAATTGCCAGGTTTTGAGGGAGCGAGGGCAGGGCTTCGGCATCCTCGTGTCAAAAGTTCCTAAGGAGTCCCACGCCACATACTCTCTTCAGGAGCCCTCGGAGGCAAGTAGTCGCGACCCATTTCGAGAGTTCCGGATCCTACTTTGGGCGTCAAAATGGGTCTTCTTGGATCCGAAGTTTCTTCTCTCCTTTGACGTCTGATCGTTTGCTGCAGGTGATGGACTTCTTACACCGCCTGGTAGAATGGAAACGTCTCTCTGGGAAAGGGCATCCGAGAGTTTAGCGTCAACCCGCAAGAACTTATAATAACTACATTCCTAACAGAACAACAGGATATGTAGTGCTTCCGTTTTCTTGTTGTCCAGAGAGAGAAACCCAAAGACAGAATGAAACAGAGGACAGGGTCTTTCCAACTCCCCTCTCGAGCCTCTTCAGCATTTTTCTCCTCTCCATATATTATTTTTGTTTCATTGCCAGCCAGATCCTCAGGGAAAGAGAATCTCACAAGCTAAAAGCTTCCTCGCCCATAGATGAGGATAAAACCTCTGTAACTTGCCATATTATGCGTTAATCGAAGTATACTTTTATAGTTTAACATGATTTATCTCCGTCTCAATCTCTCAGTCTCCCTATCTCCATAGATATTTATATACAAGTATATATGCATGCATGTGTCGTACTGGCTATGACGATATATTAATGGCTTAGTTAACAGATTTACATTATCCAAGACCAACTTAAGACCAGAGAACCCTAGGAACGAAGATTCAACGGAGAATAATTAATGACCTAGCATGGTCTCCACCTAACTCCGTGAAGTCTTCATGAAAGAGAGGATCTTCTCGGCCAGGTTGTAGGGTTTCTATTCTTCATAAATTCATTGGCTTTCAAAGTTGGGACCAGCACGAAATAAATGAAGACGCATTGTGATATTAACTCGACCGAAATTCTATGTTGAGTGATAAAGGTTTGAATCCTCTTGTATCTCTGCGTGGACAGGGTTTTCCAGTATTCCAGTAATAGGTGAATATTTTAGTAGCGTGATCCAGCAAAGAGTCTTGTTTCAGGATATATAGTTACTCTGTGGGGAACATTGTTTAGTATTTTGAGATTTGGAACGTGGCCTGCTGCAGGAGTAGGTGATATTATAGTTTTCGCTCATCGGAACCGAAGCTTATCCATCTTAAACTGGCATTTTGCGCTGTCATTAGATGCAATCTCATATTTCATGTCGTCTCTTCCTGCAATTATGGAGTCTCTCAGAGACCCCTGATGGTGGGCGTCCAGCATGCAGAAGCCTCTCTCTCGCTCTCCCTCCCTCTATTTCTCCCTCTCTCTCTCTCTCTCTCTCTCTCTCTCTCTCACTCGACCCTTTCCATTCCTCTCTCTTATTATCTTTATCACTATTCTCGCCGTCTCTCTCTCACTCCCTCTTCTTACCCTACCGTCTCCTCCCTTCCTCTCCATTTTATCCCATTTTATTCCTATCTGAGCTCTCTCTCTCTTCTTGTCTTTTCGCTCTTGTCATACATATGTATCTATCTCTCTTGAAAGGGTCTTACATATAAATGATCATGGAAGACAGGATGTTCCTTTTGTGAAGTCGAATATAATGCCTACTTACTGAAGTGATCGTCGCCGTTTCAACCACATATTAGTGGCAATGCCAGGGTTAGAAGAAAAACTAGGTTGGTTGCACGATTCCTATACGGTCGCCTTTTCTCCACTTTATTTCCACATCAGATCAACTGAACTGCTGTTATTTCTCGTGCTTCTCTCTCTCTCGTGTTCCCGGTTATCCAACCGTGGACCTACGCTGGCGCTCTTGGGATTAGGAATAACAGAAAACAACATTAAACGCATGGAAGGTTTCTTACGCCCTGGTATGTTATTCAACTGGACTGCTCGGAAGGGTCTTCCAAATGGAATATCGGTTGCCGTCACCATAGTCACAGTAATTTAATCATCACATTAACGTCGTAGTTAGAAAGTTTATACCTAAAGGTCCTGGCTACTGTGGCTTCGGAACCAAGAAGCCAGGCGAGCTTGTGCACATGCTTCTTACTCTCCCATTGAAAGATCTCAGACTTTTAAGCTGCTATGCCGCACCTTCCCTCTCCAAATCCAACATGGCTCCTGGTCTGACAGAGTGAGGGGTTGAGATCCAACGTTACACTTAGTCTTACGAGAGAGAGAGAGAGAGAGAGAGAGAGAGAGAGAGAGAGAGAGAGAGAGATCAGCATCGCCCTAGTGATCGCTGTATTTTTTAAGTTGCTTTTCCTTTGAGGAAAGGTGGTGGTGGGGCTTTAGGGTATATTCCTATAGTTTAGGGGAAGAAAGGTAAGCTACCCACGGGGTATGCGTAAAGGCATTATACTGCTGGGGGAGGAGTTGGATTCCACTCGTGGTTAGCTCGCCTAGGATACTGAGGAGCTCGGTGACAACGCTTCTGCCCTTTCCGCCGTCGCAAAGTTGGAATCCCACTCGGTTCAACTCATTATTGTCGCCAAAACTTTAGTAAACAAATTTCTCGAAGACCTAATAATTCAAACGTCACCGAGATTATTTTAAAAAGCTCCAATTACCTCGCATGCAATCGAACCTTCTGCGGAGAAATCGGAACGAAAATGAAAACCGAAGGAAGAACTTCAGATCCCCACTGTTATTGGAATTTTGATTCTGTTCTTTAGTCACCATTACAGTAATGGGGATGTGTCCACATAGCGTAATAGAAAGGTTTCGCTCTCACGAAGCATATGTGATCAGTTATGGGCGGTTTCTCTGAGATACCTCACAATGACATTGTCTGAAGTGGGAGGCAGGGTTGGAGCCATTACGTCTGTTTGAAAAGTCCTCTCATTTTGTCCAGACTAGTGTGGAGTTTCCCGTTACGTCCCTCATAAGAGGGAGAGCGAGAGAGAGAAAGATGTTTGGACATTTGTGTATGTCCGTGAACAGAGGTGAGCATATATTCTGCCATTTCTAAAAGTTAAATACAAAGGGGTTTCCAATCTAATAAGCTTTAGCCAAGATATTCATAGCCACTCAAAAAGGAATATTCAACCCCTAAAATACAAGAATATATCCTTGTTCTATTTGGAAAGATTCGGGTCAACCCTTCACAACAGACATAAACCTCTACGAAGGTCACCTTTAGTTCTTTCCACATATTGGAGATTCCTCTGTCAAAATTTATGCCGACTTATCTTTCTTTCCTTTTTGCCAGTCTTACGATGCTTAGGAGACGACAAAGGTAGTCTTTAGTGGCTTTTCTTTTATCTTTGATATCTCTTTTGTTATAATAGGTTCATTTAATTGCTTAAGATCTATTCAAATCATCATTTGCCTCTTACATGGACGGTGCACCATTGCTCCATTAACCAAATGACATGTGAGCGATTTGGCTTACTGGTCTTTTGTGGACCAGTGGTTTACATGGACCCATCATGAGATTTAATTAGTTTTCTAGGTTGTCACCATATATTTTTTTTATCGGTGATTATTAGGATAAGCCATCGGGTTTGATGTTCTAAATAATTGTTGAAGTAAACTGTTCAGATTTAGAATGATACCTTGAATACTTGTCAAATGGAAGTTCCCACTAGAGAACATTTATCTAGTATCTGTCCCATTTGAGTTACAAGCTGAAAATGATTAAATATAAACAAGATTTCCTGGTTGAGAATTTTGCACTAGAAAATGATTTCGAAATTTGAATCATAATTGGCAAATATGTATTAGATATTTCCTTAGTTAGCTTTTCCAACAATAGTAACTTCTCAGATACTTGAATGTTAGATTTTGTACTTTATTTCCCTGTCAAGAATGATGCTTTATAAATTTTTCCATCAGCAAGGAATGACTATCTTTTTGGATGTACCTAATACTTTTTGTAAACTTGCAATGATTTCTGTATTTAATATAATATGTTCCATGAAAAATAGTATTTGTTGGCGAAATCCACTCCTCTTTCTGGATCAGAAGTCACATAGATATTCATTATAAGTGTTATTTTATTAGTGGAATAATGATAAACCTAAAAGCATATGCATAATAATTTTTATTAATAATAGAATTCAAATTTATAAATGATGGCATGATTTAGTTTTAGAATTTTTTCTTAAAGTTTAAAAACATTTCGTATACAACCAAGGTTTAACACAACTTTTAGAGCTATACATAGGATTGACAGTAACATATGCATGAAGCTTCCTTATAAGCTTTCTCTATGTATTAATTGAGGAAACTTATCATGCAATATGGGGTTGGAAATGGCTCTTAATGGACTCACTTCAAAGTTCCAAGGTATTCAATTATATGGGGTTCCAATAAGAAAGATTGTTGTCTTAAATTGGACTAGCGTTGTGTTCTCATTTGCTAACAAATATTAGTGTTGTAGGAACAAGTTTGAAGCTGAAGTCAGATTATTTCGGTTGTTTAGTCTTCTAGGATCCCAAAAATGTTCATGTAGCCAAGAATGGATCAAATTGTATAATGAACCAAATATTTAAAATTTTCAGTTCATTCTATAAGCACTAATGGGCTACTCTATTCACGCTCTATATTTAAGGTTACTTTTTTTTGATGTTACATGGCCGTCTTATTCTTAGCCAATCATCACATTTATCTATGTATATCATCATTTTCATTAATCTACTTAAGTCCTCATAAAAACAATTACCTTTGGATCAATCTAGAAATGAATCCTCTAGGGATGTATTTTGATTCAAATGGCAGTTTAAAGGCTGAAGATGCAGAGTGCGAGAAGAGGTAAAGGCTGTACAGGCATGCAACAAGTGTTCCCTTTGTATTCCTCTTTTCAGTCCCAAGCTTTGTTAGTAGGTTCTCGTGCTTGAGCTGGGTCTCCCAAAGCTCATGGATGGCAGCCAGGATGTGAAGAACTCTTTGGAATTTATACACACTAGTATCCACTCGTAATTTTTTTTAGAGACCACAACCTACTCATTTATTTAGAAGACAAGAGAATTGATGTGACTTAGTCCTTGTATAGTACATCAAGTAAATTTAAAATTTATAAAACTAGAAAATATAAATTTGTGAATATTTAGAAGTATTTCTAAAAAATATATCAATTATAATTTAATAAAAATTCTAAAAATAGTGGTAATTTTTCAAGTCGATCACATGGATATAATATAATATCTAGTAATATTCAGAATTTTCTTCAAAGAATATTATTTTATGTAAATTTTATACTAATAAAATAAAATAAAATATATTTAAAATTCACAAAAAAAGGGAAATAAGGGTGTGGATGCCAGG